CATTTAATGAAACATTTATTAAAACTTATTTTCATTTTCCTCCAAAAAGAATTACATTTTTTTTAACTAATTACTCACTCATCTGCTAAAACCGTTACACCTTAATATATATATATATATATATATATATTATTTATTTGTTGGATCAATTACTAAATTAATTCTAAATTTGGTAGTAAAATATTCAAATGTGTAACGGCTAAAGTTGGAACTTAAAGTTGATTGACATATTCAGAGCTGTAACCGATATATTTGGTTGCATTGTTGGAAGAAAAGTATGATTGACACATTTTTTTTAAAAAAAAAATTAGAAACACCAATAATTTTTTTTTATTTATGTTAATTTTCTTAATATATGCCACAAATATATAAATTGTTTTATTCATGTTACTAATGTAAACGTTGTATGTTTAAAATAAAATTTAAATCTCAATTAATATTGAATGATAAAAATAACTTAAGAAAAAGTATATAATGAAAAAATATATGCCACAAATATAATTTTTCATACTCGAAACATATAATGAAAAAATACTGTGTATACCTGCTACATATAGTATATGTTAGTATATATTTGTATACGTTGCAATGAAAAACATGTCTTTAAAAAAAAAAATTTGTCTTCTAATTCACGCGGCTGTCCAGATCGGTATATGTTGCGTTTATGTTAGTATATATTCAGTATATGTTGCAATGAAAAACATGTCTTTCATGAAAATTTTATGTCTTTTTTTTTTTGTAAGTTTAACGTTAATTGAAACGTACGTGAATTGATAGTTTTTTCATTAATGATATATGTGTTGTTTTCACCAAAAAAAATCTTTTAATATACCAAACATAAACTAATTTGCACATAACTAATATACCAAACATAAACTAATTTATACAGAAAATATACTGAGTATAAACCATATATATACAAAAACATCTTCTAATATAATGAACATATACTGAACAATTTACAAAAAACTCTTCTAATATACTGAACATATACTCCCATATACTTTACATATACGTACATATACCCCAAAATAAATCAAACGAAAAAAATTCTCAAAAAAGCTGTCATGATTTTCTTCTTCTTCACGGCCTCGGGTGTTTTGACATCGCTCAGACTCTTCGTCTTCTTCTTCGCTAATTTCAATTTCAAACTTGAACTAATTAATATCTACGAATCAAGAAAATAGATTTAGAAATCAAGAAAAACAACATAAACATCGAGATTAGAGCCTGGAGTTTATGCAATTCATAGACATTGACCTATATGCATCCGTTATAACCTCCTTCTGCTTCTTCAAATGCCTAGTAATTAGTACACAAGACAAAATAAAAAATAAAAAAATTACCAAACTTGAATCTTAATATTATCGAACAAAACAACAACAATGGAGGAAAACGAAAACGAAATTACCAGACTTGAAGTTTTCCTAATCCCTCAATAGCTCTCTCATGGGATCCCCTTCGCATCACATTCAATTCAGGAAAAAAGATAAAAGGAAAACAAAAATAAACACTGCAAATCCATGGCGAGGGTGTTGGGATGAAGTCGCTGCCGTCCCTAAGCCTCGATCGATTCCGAGGCATGGTGAAGGAAAGAGAGGAAAAACTTAGGGATTTTAATGGTGGGATCGTTTTGCCCTTGAGCACGGATGAAATTGTGCAAATTTATGAGATTGTTTTGTCTGAGCTCACAGTTAATTCGAAGGCTATCATCACTGGGGGAGGAGAACAGCGGCGGATCTGTAGAAGAAGACGAAGATGATGAGAGAGAGAGGGAGAGAGAAGAAGTAGAATAGATAGGGAGAGAGACAAAGCGTGATAATAATAGATCCCATAAATTTGTTTTTACCATAATTACAAATAATTATGTGTTGATCAATAATCTAGTATGTTTGTAAATAAAAATCATAGTTTTTATTAATTTGCAAATAAATATATATGAGTTGTAAATATATAATAAAAATATTAATGTGTAGTGGAGGATGTAATTTCCTCTACTTTTAATGCGTTAAGGCCATCTCCAGCCCTTATCTCTACTCTAACGCGGACTTTACTATACTCTAGAGTAGAGTTGAACATTCATCTCCAGCCCTTATCTCTACATTTTACTCTACATTAAATATATTATTTTTTTTATTCATTTTTTATTTCAAATAAATTGGTATATATGTATATTTAATCTTATATAAAATGTTAATTACTCAAATAATAAAAATATAGTTTATTTATTTTAATTTCGGATAATTTGCTATATATATGAATATGTAATATTATATAAATGTTTATTACCCAAATAGTAATAAAAAAAAATTATGTATAACAACACGAGACTGCTTAATGAGTTCAAACAAAAGGATACAAATTACATAATACAATGAAAAAAAATAAAAAAGCATTACAAACTACAATAACATTACAACTAATTTTCTGAATTAGAAAAGTCCTCCCATAAATGCTCAATCAATGCATTACGAAGGTTGATATGAGCTTCTCTATCTCGAATTTGTCTGTATCGAGCAACAAATGCTTGGAACTGAGAAGCTTCAGTACCAACCGTTTCAACATCAGGGATTGGGGCTTCTATCGCAGCTTCAATCGGTGCAGAAAGATGTCGTTCATCCTCAATTATCATATTATGCAAAATAATACATGCAGTCATTATATCTTGTAAGTCATTTTTACTCAAAAATCGTGCAGGATTAGCCACAATAGCAAATCGACTTTGGAGTACTCCAAACGCGTGCTCCACATCCTTTCTGCATGCTTCTTGTTTCATTACAAAATATTTTTTTTCTGACTCCGTGGGTCACGAATAGTTTGGACAAGAGTTGCCCATTTGGGATATATATTATCTGCTAAATAATACCCCATGTTGTACTCTTTACCTTGAATGACATAATGTGCGGGAGGGGCAATTACTCGAGTAAGGTCAGAAAATAAATGAGACCTCTCTAACACATTAATATCATTGTTGGATCCAGGCATACCAAAGTATGCATGCCATATCCAAAGATCATAGTCAGCTATAATTTCTAGAATAATAGTTGGAGATTTACTACGTCCTGTATATGCACCTGCCCAAGCTGTTGGACAAATATATCACATTAACTCCAAATTATACGAACTATATCTCTTATGGAACCTAACAAAAAAAAAAATTAAAAGATTACACTTTCATTCAATGTATAAAATTACAATGATATGAATCACCAAAAAAATGTTAAAATAAATAGATAATCACAAATCGTAAAATAAATAGATAATCACAAATCCAATATTAACGTAACAATTTTATAATCCTGATTTAATATTTTCATTTCAGTTCATAAACATAATAATCTATCACGTCAATATATATTATCACAAGAACTACAAATTAGACAAACTAAATCACTTATGGAACGTACAAAATAATTTAAAATATTACATTTTCATTCGATGTATAAAATGACTGAAATAATAAACAAGATAATCACAAAATCTACATTCTATGGTAACTGTTTTCTAAAATTGCCATAAAACTAGCATTTTCACGAGATGAACAGTTTGATATCTATCACATCAATTTATAATATCCAAAATATTTTATTTCATATTTCTTGATGTTAAAAGATATTTGTTGCTCTTAAAAACAAGTGTGGGGATAATAAACATCCTATCACAGCCCTACAAAAAGCACCTATACGAACATAAAAAAAAAAAATACATTTCATGACTAAAATTTAAATTGTTTATTACTTTTTGATTCATCTCATTCAATTTATAATATTCCACAAAGTAATTACAGCCCGTGCATCGCACGAGTTACACACGTACTAGTTTTTTAATAAGAGAGAAGCGTCATGCGAGGTCAATTAATCAAAAATTGGCCTTTTGTACTCATTGTGCAAAAAGATACATATGTTCATATGTTTACGACATCGATAAGTTATAATATTTTCGGTCCTTAATTTATTTACGTCATAAAATCATTCATTAAAAATGTTAAACACACTCCTGATTTGTCAACTGATGTACATCATAAAAAGATAATATTAATGATAATAATAATGATTCTAGTATGTGATAGGGCTTAATTTTATATATTTTCTGCATAGACCATCAAATAAAATAGTTAAATTCAACAAAATCATAATCCTAATCATATCATTACTAAGATACACAAACTCATAACACCTCAAATCGTATATATTACAACTACAATAACATTACAACTAATTTTCTGAATTAGAAAAGTCCTCCCATAAATGCTCAATCAATGCATTACGAAGGTTGATATGAGCTTCTCTATCTCGAATTTGTCTGTATCGAGCAACAAATGCTTGGAACTGAGAAGCTTCAGTACCAACCGTTTCAACATCAGAGATTGGGGCTTCTATCGCAGCTTCAATCGGTGCAGAAAGATCTCGTTCATCCTCAATTATCATATTATGCAAAATAATACATGCAGTCATTATATCTTGTAAGTCATTTTTACTCAAAAATCGTGCAGGATTAGCCACAATAGCAAATCGACTTTGGAGTACTCCAAACGCGCGCTCCACATCCTTTCTGCATGCTTCTTGTTTCATTACAAAATATTTATTTTCTGACTCTGTGGGTCACGAATAGTTTGGACAAGAGTTGCCCATTTGGGATATATATTATCTGCTAAATAATACCCCATGTTGTACTCTTTACCTTGAATGACATAATGTGCGGGAGGGGCAATTACTCGAGTAAGGTCAGAAAATAAATGAGACCTCTCTAACACATTAATATCATTGTTGGATCCAGGCATACCAAAGTATGCATGCCATATCCAAAGATCATAGTCAGCTATAATTTCTAGAATAATAGTTGGAGATTTACTACGTCCTGTATATGCACCTGCCCAAGCTGTTGGACAATTTTTCCAACGCCAATGCATACAATCCAGACTACCTAACATTCTTGGAAAGCCACGTTGCTTACCGATATAAAGAAGTCTAGCAATGTCATTGACGTTGGGAGAACGTAGATATTGCGCTCCGAATATCTCTACAACAGCACGACAAAATTTCTTCACGCATTCAATTGCGGTGGACTCTCCAATATTTATGTATTCATCTGTCGCATCTGCTGGTACAACGTATGCTATTATCCGAAGCGCAGCAGTTAACTTTTGATAGGTAGACAATCCGAGTCTACCAACTACATCTCTTTGCGGCAAAAGATAATCATCATGACTTTTAACTGCATTTGCTATACGAAAAAATAAATTTCTAGACATCCGAAAACGTCTACGAAACATGGCTTCATTAAATTTTGGGTTTTCAGAAAAATAATCATTAAAAAGACGATTTGCAGCTGCTTCTCGATCGCGAAATATTGTTTTTCGACCAGGAACTGAACCTCCATGGCTTTGACCGCCTTGTTGAGTTCTAAGAAATTCTTGCACAAGAATATTGTTGTTGTAAATTTTTTGTGCTATCAGATGTTGCTATGTATCATAACTATCTAGTAGTTGTTCAAGTTCATCATCAGATGAATTTGAAGAAGAAAATGCATAAGAAGTACCAATGTGATTGGGATTCATATTTTTCTGGAAAATGCAAGAGTTTACGAATGAATAATTTCTGTGAAGATCTATGTATAAATAGTGATATAGAAATCTACAACTCTTAATCTGAGCCGTTTAATCTTCATTTTCATAGATAAGAATCCTACGGTTGAGATGTGGATAAGATAATCTAAACCTTTTAATCTTAGCCATTGATCTTTTGATAAGAATCCTACGGTTGAGATGTGGATAAGAAAATCTACACCTTTTAATCTTACCCATTAAATCTTTAGATAAGAATCCTACGATTTAGATGTGGATAAGAAAATCTGAACCTTTTAATCTTAGCCATTGATCTTTAGATAAGAATCATACGGTTGAGATGTGGATAAGAAAATCTACAACTTTTAATCTTAACCATTAAATCTTTAGATAAGAATCCTACGGTTGATATGTGGATAAGGAAATCCACAACTTTAAATCTTAACTGTTAACTCATATTTCCTATAACGAATGTCAACCGTACGATTCTTATCAATGAAAATGAAATATACTATAAATACGCTACATGGTGAGGCAAAATTTTGTACCACCAAAATATAACTTCATCATTTTCTAATTTACGTTTTAAATTCATTATCTTGTAGTAATTTCTCTTATGGGTTCCAACTATACTGTGAATGAAGATCAACACCTATGTCGGTCTTATATGAAAATTTCTCAAGATCCAGAGGTGGGGATATATCAAAGTAGAGATCAATTCTGGCTCCGAGTGACGAACGAGTGTAATTCTACAAAACCCAATCCAACCTGGCCTGATCGTCCACAAAGATCGATCCAATGTCGCATGGGAACTATCAATACTGCTATTAAACTTTTCAAATCTTGTGTGGAGCAAATTGAAAATGCAAACATCAGTGGAGCTTCTGAACATGACGTAGTAAGAAATTTTACAAGCATTATTTATTTATATTTAAAATAAACTTTTATATTTTCTAATGTTATTTATTTTCACATTGTAGATGGAGCGTGCGAATATACTTTATTCGCAAAACCCAAAAAATAAAAGTAATAAACCATTCAAGTACGAACATGTGTGGAATATTATGAAAGATTTTACATTGTTTGAGTGCACATCAACCAGGCGAAACACTTTTTCATCTCAACCGCAATCAGATGCACAACCCGAGTCTCCCATTTCACCTAATCCAGAACTATCTAATTTTTCTATTAATTTAAGTGATGAAAATGCTAGTGGTGGTTCATCATCACAACGGCCATTAGGTATTAAAAAATCAAAATTCAAGAGAAAACATGGAGAAGACGTATCTGCAGTTATAAAAACAATGAAAGAGGAAAATGAAAAATTTAGAGAGATGATGAGAAACTCAGCAATGAAGACAGATCACGACAGTGAGATGATAAGAGAAAAAATTGAAATCCAAAAGCAAAAAAATGAATTAAGAAAACAACTTGTTGAGACTACCACATGGACAGAGGAAAATAAAATTTTAATGATGGATTTGGAGTCCATACAAGACAACCGTCGTCGTGAATATTTTAAAAATGAGCAAGAACGAATTCCGAGAAAAAGAGAAGGATCGCAGCCATCACAAGCCAGCAACACTTTTGGTTCTTTAAGTGAATTTTTTCAAGATCTTGGAGGGTCTGGAAGTGGTTTGGGGGACTACTAGAATTATTCGTGTGTTCCTTTGATTTTTATGTCATCTTTAATCATGTTGTGTTTATTTGTGTGTTAAGTCATTTTTAATCATGTTGTTTTTATTTATGTTCTATGATTTTATGTGTGTTGTAAACTTAATTTTAATGAAATAAACTTGTTTGAGTGTGTTAAATTTTTATTCATATGGTATCATTTTAGTATTAAAAAATTGCAAAATAAAATTATAATACATCAATAAATAAAAAGCATAAAATTATTTAGCATAAAAAATACATTAAAAATTATGTAGCATAAAAAATACATTTACTAATACACATTATACAAAAATTTACCAATAATAATACACAAAAAAACAAAAAAAAAATAAAAAAATAAAATAAAATAATTGTAGAGTCGAGAAACAGTGTTGCGCCACATCTGGCGCAATATTGTTCCCGATGTAGCGCAACACTGTTCCCGACTCTCTTCTCGCGCAGAAATCTAGCACCCCATTGGAGGAGCATTTATCTGTACTCCAGCGCAAAACGCCAGATGTGGCGCAGCGCTGGAGCCGCTCTAAGGATTAAATACGATAATATAAACTAATATATTTTTATTATGAAAATATATCAATTTCAACCGTTATATTTATGCCCGGCTATGTAATTTTGTGTATGAACTTTTAATTTTATATAAATTATTGTGTGAGTCAACTTAAAGTTTAGGTGAATTAACCCGTCATACCTATCATATCTATCAAAAAATAATGCATTCTTATGACGAAATTTTTCATATTTTTTTTTTAAGTTTATTTAAAATAGTCACATACATATAAAAGTATATATCTTTATTAAAAAATGCCCTAAATTGTTGATTTTATAATTTTAGGCTGTTTTCTTTTTATGATTTGATCCAAAGTATGTCAACAATGTCATATTCTTTAATTGGTTTATACAGTAAATGAATCTCGAGTTGGATGCCTTTAATTTAAAAACCGCTGGTCCAAAGGCAAAACCAATTAAATTTATAAGGAGATGCTCTTTGAAAGCAAAAGGACAAGACACAAGTCTTACCGTTGAAAGACCCAAAAGCATTGGGAAGGATAATTGAAAATATGTTAGNAATATATATATATATATATATATATTCAATATAAACCTTGATTTATCATATAAAAATAAAATACTTTCATATCTAATCTACCTATAATATTAATTGCCGAAAAATATTGTGTAAAATAAATTTAATTCAAAAAAATAAAATAAAAGAATAACTACAAAAGAAAATAAAGTCAAAATGGTCCCCCCAGTTTGAAAATTGCAACAGAGACGGCAGTTTTAATAAACGACTCCCTATCTAGTTATGTAGAATAAATTTATTATTAGAATTTCACAGTAGAGTTTGAGCTTTAGATACTTGAATTTAGGTTCGAGCAGAGTTTGAACTATTGATATTCAAATTGTATTCGAAATTTATGATAGAATACAATATAATTGTGGTGTCAACTAGTTGTAAATGTGTGAAAATTGAACCTTATTAAGCTACCGTGTCGATAAACGAGCTCGAGTATGAGCCGAGTTCAAATACAATCAACTCATTTCATTAACAACTTTGAGTTGAGTGGAGGTGAGCTCAATTCACGAGCAATTATTTTCATTTAACAATTTTAAGTAGTAGTTAATAATTGACAACACCGAGCCATGTTAAGTCGAACAACTCATTTTATGTGAAGTTAATAAGATTGTGTTTGGTAAATATATAAACTAGTTTATAACTTATTTAATTAGTTTATAAGTTTTCTGTATTCAAATAAATTTAGAGCTTTGATAAAATAAATTTTTTAAAAATGTTCGAGCTTATCTTATAAGCTTTATTGAATAATTTTTTACATAAGTCTATTGAAATTTTTATTTAAGTTAACTTATCAGTTAGTTTTGTCAAACAACTTTGATCATACAAGATTATTTTTCAACGAAAATCATAAGCTATGAGATATAAATTTGAAAATTTCAAATAAATTTATCGATTAATACATGCAATTATAAAAATAATTAAAAGCACTGCAAGGAAAATGGAAAACAAAAAAGGAAGTGTGGAAGTTGTGTCAATTTTTCTGCAAAAGCAACGCCAAAGCAAAGTCTTCTCTTTCACACCTTTCAATCCATTTCATTTTCCTTTATTTCTCTTTTTATAATCTCCGAAAGACACACAAACACAGAGCTATGGTGATTGAAAGAATCTAGGGTTTACTGGACGCCATTTTTTCTCTCTCTAAAAACCCCAATAAAGCTCCCCTTTAATTCATACTTCCTTTCTCTGCTGGATTTTCTCTCTTTCGCAGCTCGAAGCTTCTGTTCTCACAGCAAAGCTTGAATCTTGTTATGATTTCGCAAGGCCCCTCTGCTCAAGAAATGAATCCCATTTCCCCCCATTTGCCCCCATTTTTCTCTTGTTGAGCCTCGTTTAATCATCTCTGTGATTACTGTAACCAAGTGCGTGTTTTTTGATTTCTATAATTTTTCAGAGTTGCTTGCCAAAAATGGCGGTACCTGTATTTGGGTTTTGATTTTTTTTTTTTCTTCTTTAGCTTGTTGAAGATCTATCGAGCTAGAGTATACTTCAGATTTCTACTTTCTCCCTCAATTTTTTCCCCCCATTTGCTTCAATTTTTTCTGTTCACCCCTTTCCCATCCCATGTACTGCTTGAATTTGGGAATTTAGGGTTTCCCTTATGTGATTTTATCCCTTTCCTTGTCTGAAGAAGAAGATGATGGAGGAGGTCGAAAGGGCAAACATCGCCGCCGTCGAGAGCTGCCACCGGGTAATCTCCATCCTATCCCAACCACACGATCAGAACCACCTCCGAACCCTATCCGACCAAACCGGCCAAGCCGTCCACAAGTTCAAGCGAGTCATCTCCCTCCTCGGCTCCGGCTGCGGCCACGCCCGCGTCAGAAAGAGCAGAAAAATCCAAACCCCTGTCCCGCAAAGCATCTTCCTAGAAAATCCGATCCCCAAAACAGAGGATCACCAAATAATCCCCAAACCCCTCAGTCTCCTCCAAATCAACCACGACCGTGAACCACCGCCCGCCGCCCATAACAGCCTCTCTCTGAAAACCTCTTCACTCGACCTCCACCTTGCCCAGCAGAAATCGCCTCTCTCGAGCTACCATTTTATGCAGAATCAGCAGCAGAGGCTTCAGATTCAGCAGCTGAAGCATCAGGCAGACCTCTCGTACAGGCGAAGTAGCAGTGGGGTTAGCCTGAATTTCGACCGGTCAACCTGCACTCCCTCCATGTCATCTGCCAGGTCATTTATCTCTTCATTGAGTATGGATGGAAGTGTGGCCAATTTGGATGGGAATGGGTTTCGTCTATTGGGTGGCGCACGCTCTGCAGATCACGGCTCGTTTCATCATAAGAGGAGTTGTTCGAGCAGAGGCGAAGATGGGAGTGTCAAATGTGGTGGAAACAGTAGATGCCATTGTTCGAAGAAAAGGTTGCTACTTTNTGTTTGTGTGTGTGTGTGTTTGAATGATGGGTTTGAATTGTGAATGATAGGTATTGATTACTGATATTGACTGTTTTTTTTTTCTTTTTCTTTTCTGTTTTATGGGTTTTGCGTGCAGAAAGCATAGGGTGAAGAGATCCATCAAAGTGCCTGCAATAAGTAACAAATTAGCTGATATACCGCCGGACGAATACTCGTGGAGGAAATATGGTCAAAAACCAATCAAAGGTTCACCTCATCCTAGGTATGTATTGATGTGTTAGCTGTTCAACTGATTTTCTTGCAGTATGTTGATTTTGAAAAGGGGATGTCTTGCAAGAACTTTGTGTTATAAAGTGAAGGGATTTATCGTTGTAGATGCAAGAAACTAGTGGGGTATAAACAAGTCTTGAGTTAGAGGAGTGTAAGTTGATAAAGTTTTGAAAATGTGTGTGTATAAATGTAACAAACAGCATATTTATAGAACCTACAAGCACCCATCATCCATTAAACTATGCAGAATTTAGAAACAAGAACTTGGCATTTGAAAATCACTAGAATATCCAAAGTGGAGAATTGAGTTGTACGCATTATTACACTGCCTTTTAGCAATTTTTATTTTTTTTTTTGTTTTTTGTTTTGCACAATGCATTGAATTTGAATTGTGATTTGGATTTTGTGCAGAGGATATTATAAATGCAGCAGTATGAGAGGCTGCCCCGCAAGGAAGCATGTGGAGAGGTGCTTAGAGGAGCCCTCGATGCTCATCGTCACTTACGATGGCGAACATAACCATCCGAGGTTACCTTCACAATCGGCCAACACATGAAAAGTCAGTTGGAAACTTTGTCGATTATTTTGTCAAAGCCTTGGAACCTAATTTGTCAGTCCTTTTGTCTCAACTGGCTTATGATTTTTGCTTGTGTACATATATATATATGGCTTGTTTATGTCGTAAGCGTATTTGAAATTGGGTTGTATGTGGGGTCCATTGATCTTTTTGAGGATTTCTAGTTTTAAGAATTTGGTTGAAACTGAAAGCAAGCCAAGATTTCTGGGTTTTGTTGATTGTAAGGAAGGATGGAAGTTCCTTTGTTGTTAGGATGACTATTGTTTGAGAAGTATGGAGTTTTGTTCCTCCCATTTGTGTCCTTTCTTTTTTTCATTTTTACTCATCTTTATCTTTGTTGAGTTTTGCTTGCTGCATTTATTATCTAATTATATAATGGATTTGGTGGGCCCTACTTAGTGGGATTTTGACGGCTTCATATATTGGATTTAGTGGTGCTGAATCAGTTTTTCAGATATACGTAATAGGTTATTTACAAATCGTAAAGCTACTCTTAGACGACTAATCGTTAGACAATCATATTTTTTCTCAATAGACATGCCTATTTTTATTTGGGATGTCTTATTTTAAAAGGCCATATAAACATAAGTATAATATTTTATTTTATGAATATGCATTTTTTGTTGAAAAAATATAAAATGTATGATTCATTACTAATGGTAGAGCCTGAGAAATTACCAAGGTAGAAAGTTTTCTGCTTTACAGTTATAAGTTTTAGCGGCTTTAGTTTGCAGTTATTTTTTGTTTTCTCATTTTACCTTTGGCTCTCTTGAGTNCCAAAAAAAAAAAAAAAAAAAAAAAATTATAATCATTAGTGGTGTGGCCACTCTTACTTTTGCATTTGTATGGATCTCACTGAATCTAAAAATGGTTGTTAAATTAATATTACTGCTGCATCGAAAACAAATAATGTTGATGGTAGGTTGTCGTCGTATAATTATATTATTTTTCTTATTGAAAATGCACTCATATTATGAAATATTTTGTTTATATAAAGGCTTTAATCTATAAATGTTGAAAGAGTATGATTGCTAATTAGACATCTTGGTCTTGTTTGGCCTACTAATTGATAATAGATGGTGAATAGAGCGTATTTTATTTGACCAATGAATTGTATTGCCTGTTTGTACGTAACGGTTTGGTAAATATCGTATTGTGTTGTTATCATGGAAATTTTATACATACATTATTTTACGAATCCTCTATTCTTAAAAAGCTCATATTGAATTTTTTTTGAATTAGTGTTTTGTGCTAAAAAAATTTAATCAAATAAACTATTTACTAAATATATTAATTAGCAGAAATGACGGGTCGAACCTCGAAATAAGGTTCAATTCACTAATTTTATACGGCGCTAACATCCAAACATGACACTTATCAGAACAGCCTATCAAATGATCTATTCATTCTATATATAATAATAAAGTGAAGTAGGTAATATTTAAAAACTAATTAACTATGTAATTGGTTATTACCCTACCAAATCAAAAGTTACATGGTGTCTAAAATAAATAAATCCACCGTTTTAGTGGATGCTATCCTACTCATAATTGAAATAAATGTGACATTAGAAACTCATAGGTTATGATGGTCTCGTTAGATCACATTTTCTTTCTTTTCTTAAATCCTTCTAATGAAATTAGATTTCCTATTTAACTTTATGATATTTTCTAATTTAGTTTTATTAGATGAATACCATTTGTTCTTAATAACATTATATTTATATACGAGTTATCCATCCACAAAAAAATATAAAAATAAAAAAAAAATAAAAAAAAATGAAAACACAATACTAAAACAGAATATCCTACCAAGTCATAATATACAAACTGCCCTACCATTTTCTATATTGATTTTTTTTTTCGCTGTTTAAATAATTAATTTTATGAATTATTGGTTATGAAATCTGTTAACCTTTTATGGATTCACATTCTGAGTCCATTATTATCAACTTTGACGTAGACGGTTTTCTTGCCCTGCTAGAGAGCGATTAACGATTGGTCTTTTAAAAGACAAAACATTATCAAATCAATGGAATATATTCCACTAAATTCTGTACCTAAATGCTATTATTAGCATCGTTAAATTCAACGACAAAGCGTGTTTTGTCCTTATCATATCCCACATTCTATTTTTCGTTTCAAATTTGGGGTAATATTGTTTTCAGATGGCAACAGTGT